TGACATTCACAGTCTGCTACACAGGCTAGCTAGCTTTGGGACTGATGCCCTCCACATCACGCGATGATCCAAGGCAACATCTTTCTTCCAAGGATGATGCTGATGGTACACGGCAGAGGGATGGTTAATGACCAGCGCTCAATGTCCCGCAGAGCATTGTAATTTTCCTCCTGGCAGGGTGGAGGGGTTGCTAGGGGGAGACGAAGGGTTGCTAGGGGTAGAAGGAGGATGATACAACAGCTAGGGAGGAGGGATGAGACGGATTAGTGCGGGTCTCAAAATCAGCAGTTGGCCTGGTGCTATTCAGTTCAGTTCAGATCAGTTTATTAAGTTTTCTCAAGCATATAAACAATATTATAATATATACAAAAATGGCAAATATACATACGTAAGAGAAAAAACGGAAACTACAAAAAAAGTAGTTCCCATTGACCATCCATAATCCAGACAGGAAAAAACTTTAAAGTCCTACCTTTCTCAAGTTTGTGTGGTTCACTGGAATTACCACTTCTAAATTTATTTTAATAGAGAAGCAATAACATCAACCTTGTACACTTCCAAATGAGTTTAATGCACAACCATCATAAATCTTTTCTTTGAAAAAAAGAATTACATTTGTTCATTGCTATAAACCCTGGTCGTAAACAAGCAATTCACATGCTGGTACGCGAAGTATAGGTTCTTGTTTTTTTTTACATTAGCAAGCTGACGTAACCAAAAGTTATAGACACCTGGCTTCCCGACCATCTTTCAATTCGGAGTCGGGATCTAGAAAAATACCCCTAAACGCGCACAGCAGGATTTTGAAAAACTACCCTTTTTCTTAAAGTTGACATTTTTTACCCCTTAACGTGGCACCACGCATACCGTGTCCAATAAAAAAACCAACCCCCTTATACACGTTTTCTTGGTCACGCATGCTTACACTACAGTATTTATATTTGACTGAGACCCCTGGGAAAAAAGGTCAAGGTGGAGTCCTGCAATAGATGCTTCATGTGTACTGTATACCTACCATTATTTGTTTCCTCCTGCAGTTTATGTGACAATGGCTTCATTGTATCACATCCCTCAAAAATAATGATTATTTAGCCCCTCCCATTGAGGAAGTAAATTTTAATATATACATTTGTAAATTTGTATTGTACATTACAATTGTAACCTGAGCAATTTCATTAGCTACATGTACATTGTATAGAATTGAATATATTTGTGAGCTGACTATACACTGACCTCTCTATTATTCCTCAGTTCTTGCATGGTGGACAGACTGATTGAGAATTATGAAAGGGGAGGGGGTGATGGCTGCTACTTTTATATACATTTCAGTAGATATTAAATTTGAATTCATTTGTGACCTGGCTATTATCATACCACTCTGATACCACTCTGATACCACTCTGATACCACTCTGATACCACTCTGATGCTGACCCTCTCAATCTACCAGTCCTTGGATGGTGAGGCGACTCAGGGTAATCATGAGGGAGGGGAGAAAGGGGAGGGGAGAAAGGGGTGAAGGGGAGAAGGGGTGAAGGGGGAAGGGAGAGAAGGGGGAGGGAGAGAAGGGGAGGGGGATGAGGGGAGAAGGGGGAGAAAGGGGAGGGGGAGAAAGGGGAGGGGAGAAGGGGGAGAAACGTGGAGGGGGAGAAAGGGGAGGGGGAGAAAGGGGAGGGGATAAAGGGGAGAGGGAGAAAGGGGAGGGGGAGAAAAGGGAGGGAGAGAAAGGGGAGGGGGGAAAAGGAGAGAAAGGGGAGGGGGGAAAAGGAGAGAAAGGGGAGGGGGAGAAAGGGGAGGGGGAGAAAGGGGAGGGGGAGAAAGGGGAGGGGGAGAAAGGGGAGGGGAGAAGGGGGAGAAACGTGGAGGGGGAGAAAGGGGAGGGGGAGAAAGGGGAGGGGGAGAAAGGGGAGGGGGAGAAAGGGGAGGGGGAGAAAGGGGAGGGGGAGAAAGGGGGGAGAAAGGGGGGAGAAAGGGGAGGGGGAGAAAGGGAGGGGAGAAAGGGGAGGGGAGAAGGGGGAGAAAGGGGAGGGAGAAGGGGGAGAAGGGGGATAAAGGGGGAGAAGGGGGTGAAAGGGGGGGTGAAAGGGGAGGGGGAGAAAGGGGAGGGGAGAAAGGGGAGGGGAAGAAAGGGGAGGGGGAGAAAGGGGAGGGGGAGAAAGGGGAGGGGGAGAAAGGGGAGGGAGAGAAGGGGAGGGAGAGAAGGGGGAGGGGGAGGGGAGAAAGGGAGGAGAGGGGGAGACGGGAGGGGAGGAGAGAAGGGGAAGGGGAAAAGGGAAGTAGGGGGAGAAGGGGGAGGGAGGAAGGGGAGGAAGGGGAGGAAGAGGGGAAGGGGAGAAGGGGGAGGGAGGAAGGGAAGAAGGGGGAGGGAGGAAGGGGAGAAGGGGGAGGGGAGAACGTTATGCATGCAGTGGAGTGAACCTCAACTATTACATTATAGACACATTTATAAATTCAAATACATAATTTGTGAACTGACTATAGCCGTACCGCTTCTCATATACCAAGACATTTACTTTGACCTCTCTATTCTTCATGCAGTCCTTGCACAGTAAGGTGACTGGGAGTGATGAGGAGGGAGGGGAGAAAGAGGGGGTAGGGGTGATTGCCCCAAGTTCATGGCAGGGGGAGAGACCTGGCGAAGACATTAGCGAGGGAAGAGACATGTCAAAATCGGAGCAGTTGTTTGAAGAAGATGCCCGTATTGAGTTATATAGGCGTTTGATTGGAGGGGTGATTGAGATTGACATCGCGGAAAGGTGATCAGAGCCCGAGATGTGGTCCCGATGCGATTGAACTCTGGCAAAAGGCTTTATTTTAAAGGTAGTGTCAAGTTGTATACAAAGTTACAAACTATTTTATAGAGTACTTTATAGAGCTTCTTGGTGAAAGCCTTATCATAACATAAATGCCATAATTTGTGAAATAGCGGGATCAATTATTTGAGATATTTCTTTAAAATTAATAGATGATAGAAAGAATCAGAACTTCTGAAGATAATCTGATACTAAAAATCTCTGTTCATCACACCAGACCAAATACAATGAGCCTGAGGGAACTTTGCATTCACATCAGAGAATTCCAGCAAAGCATATATACTCTATTATTGACAGAGAATAATTTATTGCTATTTTGCTTCAAAATCATGGTCTAGACTCTGAAATAATGATTCAGTAAATATGGGTTAATACTTAGATGGACCATGATTCTCAAACATGCGATTCAATACACAACATTTCTATGGCATTTTTTTTTTTTTTTTATAGGTTTTCAGAATTTTAGACTTGCAGAAATTGTCATAAAGCTATAAAACAATAAATTCTGGTAGTCTGAATGCAGAACAGGATAGGTTCTCATTAGGCCTGTCCTCATCAGCTCAAGATTGCCAAATATCCCGCTATTTCAACTATCCTGATCGCAAATTATTCAGTTAGTTAGCGTCTTCATCAGCCTGAAGTTGCAATTAGCGGGATATTTGGTCGGGATTATCATCCCAAGATATCTTGGGATAGTTTGCAAAATATCCCACTATTTGGCAAAATATCCTGGTATTTGTCCAGTGCGTCATCACCAGCCCGAAGACTCGCAAACGCTGAGCAAAATATCTCGAGCTAATTTCTCAAGGTCGAGTTTCAAGTTTCGAGGTCGAATCATGAGCTGATGGAGACACGATGTGTATTAAACTTCTGGATTATTTCCTAAATCAGAAATAGCGGGCTATTTGGCAATCTCGAGCTGATGTGGACACGCCTCTTCAGAACTGAAACTTTCACCCTACTCTTTCCTAGCCTCTCTCAAGAGAAGGATCTTCCCCCCTGGGCAAACAAAGATGACTCTTACCAGAACCACAATGTTTGCTTTCTTAATCCTTCAAGAGGTGTTTGTAGATGGTAAACACTTCTTAAGGGTGTCAAGATAAGACTGACAATAGATACTCATCACAACAAAATGAAACATCCTAATCTCATGTTGTTATCAGTATTATCACTGCAGTTTGGTTTCTTGTGAAGTATGATAATGCCTTCCTCAAATGTTTGTTGGTACATGAGATTTTGATGTAGTGAGCTTGCAAGTCAAAACTTGAGACAATTTTCGAGAGTTTGTTTAGCACTGACTAACATGTACATTGTATAAGTCCTTGTCAATCAAGTCATTTTCTTGTTATTTCTTTTTTGTTTTTACTGTAGGCATTGGGCATACAGTACATGTACATCATAGTGGTTCAGTTTTTTCCATTATTCTTTCAATTCGTCCTTGTTTTCACGAAGTGACCGCAGTGAAGAAAATCTTAACGCAAAGTGAATGCAATTTTTTTTCACTACCGTCACTTCGTGAAAACAGCGACGAATTGTAGCAGCAACTATAGAGAACTTCATAAAACAACAGAATATACAAATGCATTGTTTGTCATCCACTGTGTGGCATGCCAAAAAGTAAAAACAAATTGTTATAAATATTAACCCTTCAGTTTCCACTTTCGCTTTTTGAAGGAAAATTCATCCTTGATACAATGTATACCAGTGAAATAGTGCTTAAAAGCTTGAGACCATAATTGGTGATTCTATGCAATATCACATACACCATATTGTCTGTTGTGAGCCAGAAGGGCGTTAACACATATAATTGTATTTGTACACAGTGTTAATGCCCTTCTGGCTCCAAACAGACCAAATATGCCTTCCGTTCAATGAGTTCAATCCATCAAAAAATGAACAAAACTTGTTATGACCATTTACTAATGGTTGTCTGACTAACAGAATAATTAGTTTAATTGAAATACCTTTGAATGAAATAAATGGATCATAAAAAGATACTTTGTTCTGGACAAATAGCACAATATAATAATAATAATAATAATAATTAGATCAATTTATATAGGGCAGCTACTCTATGAACACTCAATCTACTGCGACGTGATGAATAACAAAAATCCTAACAATGTTACTTTGCAGACTCACAATGAAAAAAAACATCATCCTAATCTATTACATTGATCATACTTACAGTTTGATAATGAATGGATGATTGATGATGCTGAGTATAGCCTTCTCGTCCCTCACATGATCCTCTTGTTTGAGTTTAATTATATCCTCTATCGTTAGCACCTTTAAGGCCATGTAATCCTTCGTCTTCTTATCCCGGGTTAGGAGCACTCGCCCAAAAGTTCCCGTACCTGAACAAAAAAGAGAAGAAAACATTATTTTCCTCTCAAATGAGAAGAGCCTGATGGTACATTTATGAGTCCAGGGCCCCCGTTTCACAAAACTTGTCATCAGTGACATATAGTTTTTGTTATAAGCTAGTGAAATCCTTGCTTCTGATTGTTTATCAGCAGATTTGTCACTGATTTTTGTCATTTGTCATTGAAGAAGGCTTTGTGAAACGGGGGCCCCTGATCTCATGGCCTCCAAATTTTAACTGTAGACCCCAAACGTTACCCTTGACCCCAAATGTTACTTTTGACCCCAAACGTTACTCTAGACCTCAAATTTAAGCCCATGTAATCGTTTGTCTTCTTGTCCTGGTTTAGGGTCACTCTCCTAAAGGTTCCTGTACCTGAATTCTTCAAAAGAAAAGAAAATGTTAAAAAATAATGATCCAAAAAAATTCAAAGCGAGGAATCTGTAAAAAAAACACTTTAAAAGACAAACAAACAACGATTACCATATAACAGATAAACACTTATGGTGAATATGCCCCCCCCCCCCCCAAACACACACATACAACAATATTACTCTGGAGACTAGACACCAAAAATTGAAGGCCATGTAATATTTTGTCTATATTTTTTACTGTAAAGTTCTTGAAACGATATCTTTAACATAACAATTTGTTGTTATTGAAAAGAAGGTCTTTAGTATAAAAAAAAGCCTTGAACAATCAATGTCTGGAACTGAATAATCAATCTGAAATTCTGAATCTGAGGAGGAAATCAAATATTCAAGCTTGATTCTAGCTTTTGATAAAGAGGCAATTAAATTCTATTTCACCTCAATGAAGATTCACAAATGGTGTTTGCAGAGTATATTAATAGAAAATGGGGATAATCCAGGGAAAATAGGATTCTATCCACATTTTGAGCTTCACAGCACATTTTCAGTGCAACCTTTTAACAATGTTCAATGAACATTGCTCCTTATTATTCCAAAATTTAAAAATAGAATTTCATAAAAAAACACCTTTTCATGAAAAATCAAACTTTGATCTGGGTAGTGAATATGCAACCAAATGAAGCAGAAATCCAGCAAACATAGACATTCTATACAATTTTTGAGCTTCACAGCACATTTTGCAGTGCGACCTTTTAACAATGTTCAATGAACATTGCTCCTTATTATTTCAAAATTTAAAAATAGAATTTCATAAAAAACACCTTTTCATGAAAAATCAATCTTTGATCTGGGTAGTGAATTGAGACCCAAATAAAGCAGAAATCCAGCAAACATAGACATTCTATATAATTTTTGAGCTTCACAGCACATTTTGCAGTGCAACCTTTTAACAATGCTCCATGAACATTGTTCCTTATTACTTCCAAAATTTAAAAATAGATTTTTATAAAAAACACCTTTTCATGAAAAATCAAACTTTGATCTGGGTGTGAATAGGTAACCAATTGGAGCAGAATTCCTGCAAACATAGACGTAAAACAAACAAACGTTGGGCCCTTTCATCCCATATTTGAACAAATTTTCGTCACACGCAATCGAAAGACAGTAAAAAAAAAAAAAAAAAAAAGGATACATCTTTACTTCTCTAAAGTCATTTTGAAACATTTATATTTTCTTTTTTTTTTGGGGGGGGGGGGTGTTGTTAGTGGAAACAGGTTATTATTTGCATCACAAGCCAGCGAGTCGGACTTAATCTTCAAAACTATTTGAACAAAGTTAACATTATCAACAGACACTCAGTATTATGGAATAATTTTTTTTTCAGTTTTAAAGAGCCTTATGAATGAAGTGAACAATATGTAGGCCTACGAAACTAAACAGGTAACCTTGGATGTTTAGTTTCGTAGGCCTCAACCCTCCCACACATGACTCAACTAATCACAAATCACACATTAATGTGATTATACAATAGAACCTCCTGGCATTACAATACCATCAACGGGGAGGGTATGGGCACATGTCCACTCTGTGCCCCCCTTTTTTTTTTGCTTGTCAGAGATGTTGGACATCTGTGCCACCCCCCCCCCCCCCTCCTAATTAAAATTTAAAAAAATATATAAATACATAGTTGGAGAATCCTACAAAGAGTTTTCCCTTCCCATTCTAACTGTTACAAATTACAAACTCTTTATACATGTACTCAATCATCATGAAATATCTATATTCTATGATCGGAAATCTTCCAAATACAAAATACCAATAATATGCCAAAAATAGGTATAGCATAAAATGTAGTATGTGAATCCTTGCAATTGGACTTTTAATGTTGGGTTTAACCGATAGTTTCCGGCTCATTAGAATCTATTCAAAGTGCGAAAGGATTTGAGATCATGGGATTTTGTGAGTATATGCACAGTCTCTTACAGAGAAAGAGAGAAGGAGAATGAGAGAGAGAGAGAGTGTGGGATGCGCATGGAAGACTATGATAATTGGTTTAAAGGGATGGTCCAAGCTATTTGAAGCGGAAAGAAGTAAACAACAAATACAATTGTAAAGAATGGAAAAAGTTATTGCACAGAAAAAGAATGATCAATGATCTATTTATCTCTTAAGTCTTAATCAATATCTCCTATTATTTTGTTTTCTTCCTGATGTTTAAACTAGTGACTATATGACACATGTGAACTTTGTTTCTTGGTTTATTAAAATGCTGTGACAGGATATCAGGCATCCTTTAAGTAAGAGAGACTCCACAAGAATTTGGATTAAACAGGATTTTAGTAGCTATTATGTATACTTGACCACAAGGTCATTACATTTCACTGATTAGCACACTGTAGGCATGCCTACCAGAATGTTTGGTAAGCAGTATCACTGCTCAAACCCCAGCTATATATATATATAGTTAGTTGGATCTGGATGACATTTAAGAAAAGGTTCATCTTTTAAGGATGGGTATGGGAGGGCTGTTATTACTTCTTTCACTTTTCTTTTCACTTTTCTAACCTCCCTTTCCATCCAGCTATCTATCTATCTAGCTATATATATATCTTTCTATCTACAGTTGTATCTATCCATCTCTACATCAATTTGTCCTAGTTTTTTTCTAACTTTCTGATGTTTGTCTGGGGCATTTGCATTCTTCTCCTCCACCGCCCCAAACCGGTGTAGCTACCCAACAAAAAGAAATGGAAGGGCACATTATTTAACCACCCCAAGTCCCCAACTATTTGAAGGGGTCTTTAATCCCATCACCCCTCACAAAGAAAATCTCCCAAGACAGGTCCCAAACTCTGGTATCTAACCTTGGCACTTCCCCGAGCTCTCAAGCAGTGTACAAGACCCTATAGAAATCTGGGTCATGACATCGCTGTATGGCTTCTGCTGTGTGTAACCTGCTATTTTGAATAGCCTCAGCTGTAAGGCATGCCACTTCCAATTTAATGTCAGCAACCTCTTGGTCAATGATAATAATAGAAGTTAAGATATCAAGCATTTATTCCTCTCTTTCCTTAGAGAGAGAGAGAGAGAGAGGGGGAGGGAGGGGGTGTCCCCTCTGATAATTATTGGGGCAGCTTTCATGATAAATTTTGTTTTAAAAATGTTACCAATTACTTTGCTATGGCTTCTGTGATGGGTAACCTTTTATTTTTAATAGCCTGTAAGTTGTAACTTGTAAGCATGTCACATCTAATAATGTTAACCTCCTCTTGATCTTGGTCAATAATAGAAAATCAAAACTGAATTACAACAAATACAGTCAAACCTGTCTTTCATGGTCACCTCTCTATTATGGACATCTACCTCTAGAAGAGGTCAACTCTAATTGAGGGTCCTACCTCTAGAAAAAAGAACAAGTGTTATAGAACCTGTCTAGAAAGGCCACCTCTATTTTTGTAGAGTTGCCAACTGTTTTATAGAACCTGTCTAGAAAGGCCACCTGTATTTATATAGTTGCTAACTGGTTACCTTTTCCTTTTCCCTTGGGTCATCTTACTAGACAGGTTTAGCAATATCAAAAGTTATTTTAAAGGGGATGTTAACTTCCGGTATTATATTCAATAAAAGCAGCTCTCCATTGCCTCTATATATAGGCCTATGGTGTATGTACTGTTCTTGCACTCCAGGTACAGATTTTTTGGGGGGAATCTCCCCCCATCTACATGTACCAACCAAAATTAAAATGTTATTCTTACAATACCAGTACCTATACCAGTACTAAACAAATGAACAGTTAGGCAGAAGGGAATATGTCATTTTTGTGCGTGATTGATTGCACATTTAAACTAAAACAACTTTCCTAAATACTAATAAAAACTTACACATTTTTTTCAAACTTTCAGAGATCTGCTTCCATTATTTTCAACCTTTATTAAAATGATTAAAACAAACATGGTATAAAAGTAAACTTCCTGAAGTTTAGACAATTGGCCCTAGACTGATGTTTCTGATCCCTTTCTAAACTGGTCTATGATAATAGTCAGTTTGCACGCAATACTAATACCAGGGAGGTGTTGCTAATACCTACCGACAGTTTTGAGCAACTCCAGTTCTGACAGGTCAAACTTCCTGTGGTCATTGTTGTTCGAGGCAGCCGACGATGGGGGTGGTAAATCTTTCATTTTCCCACTCGTACCGTTCCTTTTCGACGTCTTCCCTTTGATACGGCTCGAAGCCATGTTTATTCCTTTATTTCCACAGGTATAAATCCAATATAACAGATCCTAAAAGGGTAAATTATGCTCAGCTGCGACACAAGAAGTTCAAAGCCAAAGTCCAGATTCTATTTGAACCTCATCGTGTTAAAAATGTTGTCCAGGAAAAAGGTTTCGATATCAAGTTCGATTGCAAACATCAGCAGATGTATATTTCTTACGTCTGCTCAAAAATTAGGCCCAAAGTTTGACAAACAAAGAGATCCATAACAATTTTCGAGTTAATGAACTTGTTTTGAAGAAACAGATCGGCTCACTTCCGTCAAATAAAGCTCATTTTGGCAAGATTCCATCCAAACACGAAAGTCGTCATTATTTTATTCGATGCCGAAACTATGTTCGCTGTATGCGTCATCGGATGGTTTCCCTCGCCTCTCTCCAGCTCTCACTGCACGTAAACTCCACGTCAATCCAAACTCACCGGCAACTCTTCCAAAAGATTCTTTTCGGCATGAAATTTTTGATTTACGGTGGTGCAACGTCAAAGTTCAATATAAATGCCAATCGGGTAGCTTCTGCATTCACAGGCAGGACATGTACTTGTTTACTCCTCGCATTCACATCGCTCCCTTACCATCCCAGCCCGGTCTAACGTCCCCCTCGGCATTTAGATGATGCACACACCGGTACCAGTACCAACGATGCTGTTTTGGAAGTTGGTATAGAGTTTTCAATAAATTTTGATACCGGATTCACCGCACGGTCATGGCAGAGCGCGCGCGCGTTTGCGAATGTAAAAATTATTGATCAGTGCGAAGCGCTCACGCGTGATGTACCGAGCTGAGCTATGCTATCGACACTTCGTAAATACCAGCTTTTCTTTTTGTGCTCCTGACCCATTCAGTGGCGCGACTGCTTTTCCAGCTAGTCTCTTCCCTCCCTTGTACATACATGTGTGACATCACGATCGTTTGAGGGGAAGACATTGTTTGGGCTACATTGATTTCTGGGTATATTGCCTTTCTCAGGTTCCCAGTAATGGATGAGTCAAGGTAATGCCTGGCAGGAGTTTGACCTTCTGGATCCGGGAGTGAAGAGAAGGAGAAAGGAGATTAGAGAGAAGCCATAGCGAAAGAGATTAGAGAGAGAGAGATAGAGAGAGAGAGAGAGAGAGAGAGAGAGAGAGAGAGAGAGAGAGAGAGAGAGAGAGAAAGTGAAAGATAGGGGAGGATAAAGGGATAGGAAGAGATAGGAGAGGAGAAAGGGGGAAGATTAATAGAGAGGGGTTAAGAGAGAGAGAGGGGGGATATAGGAGAGCGACGGATGGATTTGGGGTAGATTGTAAAGAGAAAAAAGGAGACAGTAACGACAGAGAGAGAGAGAGAGAGAGAGAGAGAGAGATAGGGGAGGAGAAAAGAAGAGAGAAGGTTAATCAGAGAAGGGGATGAAGAGGAAGGCGAGAGAGGGGGAGAGATATATAGGAGAGCGACAGAGGGATGATAGGGTAGATTGTGAAGACGGAAAAAAGGAGACAGTAAAGACAGACAGAGACAGAGAGAGAGAGAGAAAGAGAGAGAGACAGAAAGAGAGAGATAATAGGGAGAAAGAGAGAGAGGAGATGAGAGAGAGTAAGAAATAAACACAGAGTTTAGGGACTAGGGAGGGAGCTATATAGGGTAGATGGTGGAAATATTAGAAAGTTTGATAGAGAGAAAGAAAAGAGAGGAAGAGAGAGAGAGAGAGAGAGAGAGAGAGAGAGAGAGAGAGAAGAGTAGTGAGAGAGGGGGAGATGGGTGGAGGGAGCTGATATACAGAGGATGGTCCTCAAACCAAGAATTGCTCAAACAAAAATTCAAATAACTTGCAGCTTGGAAAGAGTATAGGTTCGCGTAAGCAGCTGTCAGGTTCAACATTTTCAAATTAATTTCAGGACTAATATTTCATAAATCGTTTTAGTTGAGAAATGAGTTTTAACCTGTCTGTGATTTTCAAACCTGTCATTTAAATATTCAAAACTGTCGATATTACATGTTAAGATTCCTGATGGACCTCCTTGAAGTCCTACCTTCTTGCTGAAACTTGTGAGGGAAAGAGGGAAGAATGATTTCGGGAACTCTGGAATGTGGTTTATTTTTATGAGAGAGAGAGAGAGAGAGAGAGAGAGAGAGAGAGAGAGAGAGAGAGAGAGAAGAAAGAAGGAAGAAAGAAAGGAAGAGAGAAGGGGAAGGGTTGAGGGCAAAGAAAGTGGACATAATCATGTGTGAGACAGGCTCTTAATTTCTTTTGTTATAATTTGGTTGGTTGCAGAATATGAGCAAAGAGCGCAAATTCTTCCGACAAAGCCGGCCGACTTTCTCCGAATGATTAAATACCATCGATTAGTACTGTTGCAAAGAAAAGATCTTAATTGGATCCTCCCCAACGCCCAGTTACAAAAAAAAAAATCTTGGCTTGCTTGTTTGCAGGTTGTTATTCTTTCGATTGACTCTTGTGAAAGAAATGACAAGAAGAATTCTCATCTAATTGATCACAATCTGAAAAGGAATGAAAGACACATAAAGGCTATAAAGGCGCTGAAAAGCTTTATTTTGAATTCATCGCATTTGACACATCTTTGATGATAACTCCATCACTTGGTATATCTCAATGTATAGAACTGTTATAATGTTTGTTTTGTGTCTGCATTTTCCCAAATATAATAACTGAATAACAAAGACCATGAAAACGTTAAGGTGTAATAACAATATACAAACAATAATAACTTAATGTCCAATTGTGATTTACACACATATTTATATCCAATTTATATAAATACCGAAACATTTGTATAATATAGTATTAGGAATTATTAGGAAGTATTATCCTAATAAGCTGTGGAAAAGCACAGGAGACCGCCATTATAAGCGACGCTTGACTAGAATGGCGGCCTCAAAATCTTTGATCAAGATCGTGGAATAATTAACCTATTAAATAATAGTTAGATATCAAAGAATTTTACAAGAAAGTTTAATAATTTGTAATAAAATAATGGACATGATCGTGTATTTAGCTTTTCGTAAACTGGGTTGGCTGGTCCATCGGTCAAATGGGGGAGAGAGACCGGGGGATATTATAATGTGCACCATCATCCCATCTCAAAAGTTAGATTTGTAGAGGTTCGGAATAACAGACCGGTTTACTAACATACTCACATTTGCCCGACATAGCAACACGTTAAGTATGCCGACTGGATTCCAATTATTGTACAGTTTATTAATTAATAACAGATAAAAGGAGTAACTCATCACTAGGTCCCCAGGAAAGAACATTTTGATTATGTTAGTAAACCGGTCTGCCATAATTTACACTAACCGAATTCCTTACTTCTTCCCAGGTCCAATCTGAACCCCAAACTTATAATTTAATTGCAGCACTAACTTTATCTAACTTTGACAGAATCAAGCATGTAAACGTTAACAAAAAAATGTCACCGGAATAATGTCTCCTTCAGTTCAACCACCTCATTCCCATCTCAATTTTGTTTTAGTAGGAGAAGAAGGAGGCAGATGAGGAGAAGGAGGAGAAGAAGGAGGAGGATGAGGAGGAGGACGAGGAGAAGAAGGAGGAGGATGAGGAGGAGGACGAGGAGAAGGAGGAGGAGAAGGAGGCAGATGAAGAGGAGGACGAGTAGAAGAAGGAGGAGGATGAGGAGGAGGACGAGGAGAAGAAGGAGAAGAAGGAGGCAGATGAAGAGGAGGACGAGTAGAAGAAGGAGGAAGAGGACGAGGAGGACGAGGAGAAGAAGGAGGCAGTTGAGGAGGAGGAGAAAGATGAGGAGGAGGACGAGTAGAAGAAGGAGGAAGAGGAGGACGAGGAGGACGAGGAGAAGAAGAAGGAGGATGAGGAGGAGGACGAGGAGAAGAGGGAGGAGAAGAGGGAGGAGAAGGAGGCAGATGAAGAGGAGGACGAGTAGAAGAAGGAGGAAGAGGAGGAGGAGGAGGACGAAGAGAAGAAGGAGGAGAAGGAGGCAGATGAAGAGGAGGACGAGTAGAAGAAGGAGGAGGATGAGGAGGGGGACGAGGAGAAGAAGGAGAAGAAGGAGGCAGATGAAGAGGAGGACGAGTAGAAGAAGGAGGAAGATGAGAAGGACGAGGAGAAGAAGGAAGAAGAGGACGACGAGGAGAAAGAGGAGGAGGAGGAGGAGTAGAAGAAGGATGAAGAGGAGGAGGAGGAGAAGGAGGAGGAGGAGGAGGAGGAGGAGGAGGGGGAAGGACGATGAGAAGGGGGAGGAAGAGGAGGAGGAGAAGGAGGAAGATGAGGACGACGAGAAGGAGGAGGATGAGGAGGAGGAAGAGGAGGACGAGAGAAGAAGGAAGAAGAGAAGGAGGAGGAAGGAGGAGGAAGGAGGGGTGGATCGTCATGATGATATAATACTGAATATAGTGTTGTGGTCGTCGATCCAGTTTTAGGGAGGAGGCGGGGGCAAATACATCAAACGCTCTATAGGATAACAACTTGTCCCACAGAGGAGGGCAACTTCCTGACCCCTCTCTCCCCTTTGCACCATGTTTGTGGCACCTGGCATAAAATAGACAGTCATAACATAAAGGAAGAGTTGGGGTAAAGATGAGCTGCTAAACCATCCATGTAACTCACGAACTGTGTACGTGCACCATCACCCGTCTACTCCTTCGAAATTCGCAATAAACTTCTGAGGTTATTTACTCAAGGAGGAGATTTTTCTCACAATAGAGCAAAAATGTTATACTTTATATCAAATTGAACAAAGAAAACTGTTGACGCTTGCAACCAACAAAACGGATTCAGGATGTTTTCTTTTTAACTTTCTCCCTATTAGGAGGCCTATAATGTTTCGTGATGTTTGCTCTCTCTCTCCCTCTCCATCTCTCTCTCTCTCTCTCTCTCTCTCTCTCTCTCCCTCTCCCTCTCTCTCTTTGAAAGTATTATGTCCTATATATTTCAACTTCATATTATGATAGACTATACACAGACAAGCATGATACATATTGTTTTTGTTGGATGTGCTCGTTAGGCAAGCCATGACAGTTTTTGGTTTGGTTTGCGGTTTACCAGGTCCATGGACCCGTGGTAGGGTCCACACCAGATCCAACACGATCTCGGTTTTCCTTGAAACCGCGACGCTTCACCGGTTAAGCGAAGGAATCTCAGTTGATCCTCAACTTGAGTTCATGATCATCGTTACACGTCTTGAAGGATTACGTTGAACTTCAACCTGGTGTACTATTGACAGCGAGAGGAGCTTTGAGTCATATACAGTCAACAACTAGATTATTCACACTCTTACCAAGTTTTACCAAAACCAAAATTTATGTTTCTTGAGAAAGCGACGTATTTACGTTTAGATCTAAAAGTATTCAAGAAAGGCCCAAATTATTAATAAAGGATTACTGTAAATTTTAAACCCAGTATAATGCTGAGAGCCAGAAGGGCGTTAACTCATAATTATGCTTCTATTTAGGGTTTCTACCCTTGGAATACCAGCTGAGTCAGATAAGAGTAATCATTATCGTTGTGAAATGCATTACAATCTAAACGTGTCCCTATCATTTTTACTTGATTGGATTTGATTTGATTTATTTACCAACAGCAATATATTTCATACATTTCATACAATAATTTAAATATACAGGAAGAGAAACTATTGGTTGGTAAAAGGGGCCAGATAATAGAACATGTGCTAGTCGAGCCTAACCCCTTAAACAGCTAAACAAAGTATTTTGGTACAAATCAGTTTAGAGAACGTAACAAAACAAAAAATAATGAATTAGTTTTACAATCGATACTTTAAAAAAAAACAAGAATCAGTACTCAAC